TATTTTGTGAAGCTTTATACATCCAATTTTAATCTTTTTCGTTCCAGAGCTTATATTTGCAGATGATCCACCTATTATTTACAGCAGCTGTGACATGCCCTGCAAGTACGAAGGTTTTTATTCCTGCACATAAGAACATAGAATAATTCCTTTGTGAAGTGGGCAGGATTGCTCCTGCTGCTGCTAGAAGGGAGCACCAGTGTTTTCCAGGATTATGAAAAGCCAGCATCACTACAATGCTGAGATGAAGAAATGTCAGGCATCTTTTTCAGCTGGTCACTGGCAGGGGATAGGATTTTTGTCTTGGGCTTATTTCCAGCCAGCACCTCTAACTCTTTATGAAAAGACGACTTCTCGGCTTCATCAGCAGCACTAGTACTGAAGCCATGATTGCAAATGCACCATTTCCCAGAGTTCCTTTCTCTTCTGTGTAGACTTCTTTTGTCTGTGGTTGGTCCCCAGAGTTGAAAAGGAAAGCAGGAAAATCATAACAAAGCTAAGTTCAGTCTTGCTTTGAGCAGATTACTAATGTTATTTGAGATTTGATTTTTAAAGCCAACTTGGGTACGAGTACTCAATTGCAGAGGTGTCATTATAAACACCTTTATCAACACCCTATTTTTGTTGGTTTTGTTCATGTTCTTTTACTCCAGACTTCCCTTTGGTGATCTGTTGGAGTCAATGGGGTTTACCAGCTGTCCCCACTGTGGGAGCCAAGCAGCAGACACTTTACAGAAGCTGGGTGACGCCAGGTGCTCCAAGGACAGCTGGGCTTACAGCAGATTCATTGGTCCAACCACAATCTGCAACTTGCATGAAAAAGCTTTCTTTCAGATTGTCCCAGGATGTTACCTTGGCAGTTACCTGTGCAGTTAACGAGTATAATGGATAATGAGAGAATTAAGCCTAATGAGGATGACAAATCCATTGTTGTTTTTCTTACCCAGCCAGGGCTCTGAACTAGTGCTGCAGGGCAGAGAGCTTGCTAATCATTTCCAGACTGAAGGAACTCCAGTTATGATTGGTAAGTGCTTGAGTAGTGAAGAGCACCCATGTAAGCGCATGGCCTTCCTGTGGTGAATTTCATTTTGATTGGAACTCATTCACTTTACTGTACAAGAGTTAATCAGAACTTGAGATAAATTAAAAATTACACTGTTCCCAAGGGAGCCTGGAAAATGGTACAGTTTAGTCTGGCTGGTATCTTTTTCACTCAGTATTTCTCCCAAGCTCAGTATTAAACCTGGTAACAAAAGTCAATCTAAGTGGTGGTCTTAAAAACTGCTGTTAAAGTCGGAACTCGAGAGCTGACTTCCGCTCTCTAGTGGAGCAGAAGTTCATACAGTTCTCCAAAACTTCCAGTCACAGGAGAGTAGTGTTTATCTGGCTTTGAAGAGTATTATCCAAATTCTTTTTAAGACAAGTTTTAATAATCTGAAATGTTGATAACATAAGAAATGTCATTTGTAAGAATGCCATAACTTTGATTGAACTACATCAAGAATATTGAAAATACCGTTTTCCGTTTAAATAACATTTTAATTTTAGCAATATTTGCAATCCATGTTTAGCACTCCACAAAGATAGCGTTACTCGCTCAGTTTAGAGGTGCCAGAAGTCCAGATTTTGGTATGAAATATTCTTGGCCTTTCAGCAGTCTTCTGGTCTGAATTTCAAGAATTTAAAATCTTACATTGAAAAATCTTTTAGTCTGTAACTTGGCCTTCCCTGTAATGCTCTTGTAGATTGGTTTAATTTTTCTTCTTGTTGGAGGGGCAGAGTTTGGCTTTTTAAGGTGGGTTTTAGGGATTTTTTTTTTTTTATTGCTTGTGTTCTTCTGGGGTTTTTGCAATTCCTGTCTGTTGTGTGGAGTCATTACTGCAGCATCCCAAGGATGTAAACTCCTCACGCTCTCTGAAAGAAACAGACAAGAGTGGCCAGCTTGTCAAAATAGCCCCTTTCCCTGCTTGCAAGCTGGAGAGAGGGGACTCAGAAATTCCTACTCTGCCCCTAATATCCATTGAAGAAACTTAGCAGAAAACTGCAGATAAACCTTGTCCAGAAATTCTGATTTCTGTTCTAATTTTAGTCCTTTTACAACCACAAAGTTTTCCAGATTCTCTTTCTAAAGTTAAGTTTCTTTAAAGAAGAAGTGAGCAGAACAGATGTTTGTAGTATTCTTGACTTTATCTGGTGGAAGTGTTGAAGATGTAACCCATCTTGCTGACATGGAAGAAATTTGGAAACTGAATTCTCTAGTTGTAATGAGTAAAGTACAAGAAGTAATCTTCCCTAGCTGTAGTAAAGATATGTTGTTTAATAACATGAAGAATCTTACATAGGACAGCTTCAGAATAATTTGATAACCAAGCTAATCTGTTAACAGAAAGCGTTGATGTACCTTTATTTTAGGCTTGCACATTCAGCCAATCTCAATGAAAAACTTTTGGCAATTTTTGTTCCTCATATTCTAGGTGGAGGTGTTTTGGCTCACACAATATTAGGAGTGGCTTGGAATGAGATCACAGGGCACATAAAATATTTGATTCTAGACCCACACTACACTGGAGGAGAAGATCTACATGTTATTTTGGACAAGGTGAGGCTTGATCCACACACACACACACACACAAACACATATATATACACACATATATGTATTTTGGCATTAAACAAATAATGTACAACCAAATACCAATGGGCCATTCTGTGGCTTCTCCATTTCTTCTGGAGGAAGCGCTGATCCCAGTTAACCTCCATATATGCTGCTTTAACGATAGTCTGAAGGAATGTTCTTTATGTTCTCCAAATTAAACCATCTCCCCTTTTACCCAGTAGTATATACAATAAATGTGTTTGGTATTTTGAATGGAACAGAAAAATCTGTTCAGCCTGTAAAGTGCTGTCAGTGAAGGAAAAAAGATAACCATTTATTTAAAACTGAAAAAATAAAAAAAAATCCAACACTAGGCATTCCCAGATCAGGCCTTGAACTAAGTTTAAAGGGCAGGTACTGAGCTCTTTTGAAAATCTGGAAAAACTCTAAAGAACTAAAGGGTATGCAATGTTATTTCCATATTTAAAGCTACTAAAAGGGATGACACAGCACATTATGAAACAGTAAATGTAATAACTTAAACTCTGTAACAGTAACATGAGAGACTTGTAACAGTAACCATTAGAAACTTAAACTCTGAAAGTGGCTAAATTATCATATAGTTGTTAAGCAACCAAATTCTTTTCTGCTCTCATATTAAGTTGCAAGTAGCAACTTCTGTCTTGTATCTGTGATACCTTTGGGTTGGGCACAACTAGAAAAGCTGTTGAAGAAACATTTGGCTAGCCCTATAATGATCAAAGCTTGAAACAAATACAGAAAGAAACAACTTCTGAAGAACATATAGAAACAAAGGCTGTTACAGCTCAATGGGGCTCAGGAATGGTCCAGGAGGATAAAACATGCAGAATCCCCTTTCCTCATCCAAAGTGACAGGGGAGGGCAGTAGCTGAGGTGATCTGTAAGGTTGTAGCTTTCTTCTTCAAAAACATCTCATAGAATTATGTGGTACTCTGCAAACTTAAGAGCTTTTTCAGACTATTTTTCTGCTAAATCATGATCAAGAGCACACCTTCTGATATTAAGAGCCCTGTTTGGCTCTGAAATATCAACTATTGCCAAAGAAGGCAAGGATTCAAGACAAGAGAAATGGAAACTGTGAAAATTATAGAGTTTCAGAATACTACTAGTGTCTCTGTAGCAGCAGAAAGTAATGGGAAGTGGGAGGAAAAAACCAAACAGGTGCTACTTTTTAGGAACTAAGCTGGGATGGGGAGGGAGGAAGGGAGAGAGAGACTCTATAAAGTGTTTGCCATTAATGTGTTTCCAGGCATGTTGAGAACTTTTCTGAAAATCGTGTCTCATTGCATTCTCTAGTAAAATAAAATAGATCAAATAGATCCAATAGTAGTAGATGGGAAGAACAAAATACGTTGCAGACTTAAACACTATCCTGCTTTCTCTTGGACAGGGCTGGTGTGGATGGAAGGGCCCGGAGTTTTGGAACAAGGATGCCTATTACAATCTCTGCCTACCTCAACGACCAAAAACTATTTAAATTCCACTCTTAGGCTAGAACATGCTAAGTCAGAATAGTAGCTGATCTAGATATAACTGTCTTGTTATTTATCAAAATAATGCTTTAAGTCAATCAAAAGCCAGTTGAAATACAGATGTTGCTTGAGTAATTTAAATTAAGAAATTTATTTTTTAATGAAACCTCTAAAAACAAGAGTTATCAGCTGTGAACTCTATTTCTTACAAATACATTTATTAAGTAATTAATATTCTCTTACTATGGCTAGGACAACCTTATGTTTATATAGCATTTTTTTGTTATGCTAAAGTCATTACAGATTAAACACCCAATCCTTTTATTTTATGGAATTCTTTCTTGCCAAAAAGATGAACCGTTTCTGCCTTTCAGGTTCCATATAGCCAGCTGTCTCATGCACTATGTATCTGTTCAAAGGCATCATTTGCTGATGGTACTGTTGATAACAGCATTTTAGGAGTGGGAGAAAAATGGCTATATGTACTGAATTTTATGAACTTTGTTCTCATACTTACACAGGAAAAAATGTGAGAGAATTAATTGTTATGTGCTTATTTATTATAGCTGTATGAATACAGCTATTCTAGGGAAAAAAAAAAAACAAAACCAAAAAAAACACCACCACCAAAACTAAAAACCACAACAATCTTCTGTAAGAAGTAAAAATAAACAAGCTTTCCTCCTTCTCAGAAGGAGATAATGTACCAGCGTGCACATCTGGCTGCTCAGTGCACCGTCCGGTCATGTTTCTTCAGACCATGGCTTCCCCTTGATTTTATTTTGGGATTACAAGCTGTTTCACCAGCTAGGAGACAAGATCTGTGATACGAACAAACGAGTAAGTCTGTAGCTACTCCATCAGTAAAAGTACCTGTGATTTTTTTTTTTTTTTCCCCAGGTGCTGTCCATCTTCAATAAGACCATAACCTTAAATACCTATGCAAGTTGATCCATACTAGCAGGCTTCTAAATGCTATGTATCTAACACCCCATTTATTTACTTAAATGCTAAAAGCATTAAAAAAATAAATAAAAATACTCTGAATTGCAGTAAAGCAACAGTATTACACACCATCTGATCTTCTCCTCTTCCTGCTTATTGATCTGCTGGTTTCACTTTCTTGCTTCTGTGCAGCTGGCTCCTCTCCCAGCAAGCTGGGTTTGTCACCGAGTGAGCAGCCCAACTGTCCTCTCAGTTTCATGGTCTGCATGTGCTGAATTGTTGTCAGGAACTTGGCACATTCCAGAAAGCCGTAAGCCAGTGCGAGGTCTGCTGCTGTTTGTCCACTGTTGTTGCACAAGCTGAAACCCAGAATTAACAATAACCATTCAATTAAATTGGAATATGTATTATGAGCAAGCACTGATCAAGATTAACTAAGTGGTAACTTCAGTCAGTCAACTTAGGAAAATAAGTACAGAGAATCAGTACTGAGGAGACTTGTCAAAGATAGCATGGGGGTCTACTTGTACAGGTGGCTGGTGTTAAATGCAACAAGGAATAATTGTTTTAAAATAAATTTGTCATCAGACTATGACTGGCTTAGCATATCAGAAAGGCAAGAAGAAGGTGAACACGGCATTAGTCAGAATGGAAAACGAATGAGAACTTACGGTCAGGAATATTCCCTTAGCAGTTACTACAGAGGTCTTTAATGTGGAACTAAACAGCATGTGGTCTATGCTACTTCGGTGTTTATGGCAGTTTTTAATATTGCTCTTATGGCTATAGTCATGCTGTATTCACAGTTTTAGCATGCACACTCAGAACAAGTACACGTATCCTTTGACAGTGTTACTGAAATGACTACATGTAGCTCAACTTACTCGATTTTGGCATCGCCAGCAACAAGGAGAGCAAGACATTCCAAACTCCCAACTTTTGCTGCTTTATGAATCGGGGCTTCTCCAAGGCAATCCTAAAAACACCATTTATATATAGGAGTTATTTGAAGGAAGGGAAATAGGATGAAGCTATCTTGTTCTCCAACGTGACTGTATATGGGGTGTCACTCTATACCAGTCTGTTGCGAGTTGAGAGATTAAAAAAATATAGCTAGTAAAGTGTACTTGGTAACTGTTGTTTAGTGTATTCATCACAGTGAAGCAGAAATACTGTCCCATGCAATACTCATTGTTTAACTTTTACCTTCCACAAGATTATTTACACAGCATGCACTGTACACTGATTAACAGCATCTTTCAGCACCATTCAGGGATTGCTGTGACCAACCACTTGCTGCTGCCAGCTCAGAGGTATAACCAAGTTTAACTTTGCAGCTAGAGGAAGAATCCTTATGTTTACTGGGAATAGAGGCAAGATTTCAGAGGAAAGAGGACTACTCATCTGTGTAAAAGAATTAAGTTCTTATGCCATCTGCATGCAGCACTGTAAGTGTCAAAATTCCATTATGCATAGCAAATGAAATTGCTAATGCAATGTAGACAGGATTTGTGCTTTCTGGTTCTAGAATAAAGTTACTCTAAAATAAGCAATCCCAGATACCTCATGCAAATACAACTGTGTATATAGAACCTCTCTGAGATAAAGAATTGTGTAAGTAGTATCAATTTGATTTACTGACATGCCAGATTAGTAGTGGAAGAAACAAAACTGTATTTTTACCTGTTGGTTCAAATTCGCTCCTGTCTGCAGTTGCCAAAGCAGGAAAAAAGCTTCACCACCACAAGCAGCCAAGTGAGCTGGAGACTGACCAAAGGCATCTGCAGGTGCGTTCACACTGCTTCCTGCCTCAAGCAGATTGCTGAAACTACCAGACTAAAATAAATCAGAGATATTAAAAAAAAAAAAGCATAATGTTATTGCCAGTCTAAGCCAAGGCAAGTCTAAGAACAGTACATCATAGCAGAAAACATCCCCCTTGCGAATCATCGGACCTTTCTGTTCCTTGAGACTGCCTTTTAACAAAAAAGCAATTCAAGCATGACTCCTTTTGGCTTTTAATCTCAACCAGAAATACTGACCGATATCAGCAGTGCCCCAAAACACTCGGAAGCGGCTCCAGGCAGCCGCAGTTCACACAGCCCAGCAGCTGGGCTCCCGATAGGACCGAAGCGGCAAAGGGACCTGTCCCCAGCCTCACCTCTGAGCTGCAGCCCAGCATCAGCATCGCCTCCCTCCCGCCGAGCACGCCCGGCTCTCAGGGC